GTATGGCCACCTGACCCATCAGAGTAGAGTAAGGCCATATTATCTGACCAATCAGAGCAGAGTAAGGCCATCTGACCAATTAGAACAACACAAGGCCATCTGACCAATCAAAGTAGACTAAGGTCATCTGGCCAATCAGAGCAGAGTAAGGACATCTGACCAATCAGAGTAATGTAGGGCCATCTGACCAACTAGTGTAAGGCCATCTGCTCTGACCAAGCAGAGTAAAGTAGTAAAGTAAGGCCATATGACCCATCAGGGTAAATTACTATCTCTGAAAGACTGAGATCAGATCCTTAAACCCACAGTTTCAGTCAACAAGAGGAAAGAGCTGATGATGTATTGGATGCTATGAGAAATGCAAAGTGTTTATGATCTTGTATGAAGGTAAAGACTAAATAAAAAAAAGTCAATGTACAAACCTTTTGAATAGCATAAGAAGATAAGTCGAACATGTCTGCAGTTTTTAAATGTGGCCAGTGTTTTTCTCTTGATCAGAGTCCGTTAGCTCAACAGATATGAGATATGATACAAAAGTGTCCCATATCGGCATGTCTTTTCAGTTTGACCTGTTCCTGTTGGCCTTTATGAACAATATTCATCAATGTGTCTTTGGGCCCATTTATCTTGAGGTCATGGCCAAGGAATTTCAAAATAAGATTTATGGTCTGACAGTAAACATGAGCTATTATGCTGTGCGCTACATTACTGTTATTGGTTTTGTGGTGTTTTTTGCTCGGACTGTTGCCCTGTTTGATATTGCACATTTAGTTTGTTTGGGAGAATAATGAGTTCAGTGGCTTGACTGATGTCCTTCTGTCTTATTCTGTGTCTTTTGATATGGTAGATCATAAATCTTTATGAAGAGCTCTTTGAATTGAGTTCTGGAATTAAGTGTATTACTGAAAGCAGTCATCAGACCTGAATTACACTATATTAAGTGAACAGACTCTGATGCATCTATATATAACTTGGCTGTGATGATAACTACTAGAGCTGCAACAACAAATCGATTAAATTGATAAAAATTGACTACTAAAAGCGCTAGCAACGAATTTCATAATTGATTCGTTGTGCGCACGACACGGAGACGTATGATTATTAAAGGGCCATGAAACCCCCTCGTTTCAGCAGGGTGTTTTCACACCTCTACTTTGGAAAAAGTCAGAAAAGTGGGCGTGTCCAGCTCTGTTTAGGGGGGAGTGTCGAGGAAGACAAGTGGGATGGTGTGAGAGTGTCTATTTGGGCACGCGCGGGTTTCAGAGTCAAAATACACACACACACACACACACACACACACACACACACACACACACACACACACACACACACACACACACACACACACACATACAGGAGAAAGTGATGCTGTTTAACCTACATGGACATCTGTAGTCGAATTATTTGCCAAATTATTAAATGGTGGACTTTAACTGCAGTTTGGCTCTTTCATTCAGGGAATTCATTCATGCCCCTCGCGACACACGAGATATTTGATTCGAGGAACTGCTGTAAGCGTGTATTTTTCATGCACTGTTTGATACCGCACGGCGAATGAGAGAAAAAAACCTCCGCATTTCCCAGAAACTTAGATGCACACGGCAGGTAGTGTCAGAAAGCCGCGCGTGTTATTGCGGTCACTAAATGCGGTAAAAACCCTACACGAGGTTAAAGTTTGGTTGTGGTGCTAACGTGTTTACACTCTGTGCAATAGTTTGTTAGATACGAACAAACTGAATAAACAAAGAGCACTGGTCGCTCACTTACCAAATCTGTAGAGACAGGACAATCACCAGCAACTAGAGCCGCGTCTTTATGAAGAGAATACTACAAATGAATCCAGATCTCAGCGTTTGCAGCTCTCAGGTAAACAATAATCCTCCTTAGACACGTAAGTTATTGTTGTCGCGCGTCGCGTACACTGTTAATCCACACGTGACTCTGAGCTCTCACAGAGAGAAAATGAAAACGAAACTTAACTGCAGCAAACTATAAAAGCAACACTTCACGCTTGTTTTGCCAACACAACGTGGCGTCTCTGTCCTGAAAACACGGTGATAGTAATTAATATTAATGAAGTTGCACAATAGAGCGCGCTGATTGGTTTGAACCAAGCCTTACTCATGCATTAATGCATCACACTGTAAGACGTAATAAGACACACTCTGGCACAGACGCCCAGTCTGCACGCTGGAATACAACGCTATTATGTCATGACTGTGACGCAGCTTCAAAAATTCGTTTTAAACAGGAAGTACGAATTTGCTTGAAATAACGCAAAAACAACCAATTTACACTTTTTAGTGAAATATAGGTGTCTTAATAGTGTTTTTAGCAGTGTGGGACACATATACTACTGTCAACAGCTCAAAAAATGTGTTTTGGTGTTTCGTGACCCTTTAAAAAAAAGCTTTAGTTCAGCACGGAGCGGAGTAAACACGGTCTCAATCACGCACTGATACAGAGTTCTGCGCCTCATAGACAGAGATGAGCAGGAAGGGAGTTTAATAGCAAGGTAAATCACTACAGAATCCTACTTTTGTTCCGTTTTAAAGTGAGGACCGTAAAGTCCCTGGTGCTAATGTTTTACTTGTTATCCAGCTTGACAAGTTTACTTTTAGAGCGGCAACTGAGAAAATCAAACTTAGCTATGGCGCAGTATTTGGCGCTGAGCAGAGCTCTCAGTAAGGGACCGTCGAAACAGTGCTTCTTTTCGTTTTTTTTTTCTTAAACAAAACCGACTTAACACCGCTGAGAAAGACGTGCCATATTAATACAATTATGCAGTGTTTTAACCCCCTAAAGCTTAATTTATGTTTTAGACTTGAACATTTCTAAAAGTTTGTAAAACATAAAAAGTAACTATGAAGTATGAACTATAAAGTTGAATCTACTCTTCTCTAAGTTCACCAGCCACTTACTTGCATGTATTTAGGGAGTAACTGGTGAATTTACATGCTGAATTCTGCTTGTTCTGCTATTATGAATGAGACAATCGCATGGCCGAAAGTAAACATGGCGACGACCATCTCATGTTATAGATCATGATTACTTGCACGTTTAAGTGAACTGGTAAAATTTCTGTTTGAGATTTTTTCTTAGCCAATTCGCAAATTATTTAACTTGTTTTAAGCAATCACTTAATTTTGAGATGATTTTTTTTTCTGAAAACAAGACATAATTTATTATGCTAATTGAGGTGTCTAGTATGTATTTTGATTTAAAAAATATTTAGATATCTGTATTGAAAACAGGATAAAATTACTTAGTTTTTTATTTTATTATTATTATTATTATTATTCATTCATTAATTTATTCATTTTCGTTTCGGCTTAGTCCCTTTACTAAATATTATTTATATAAATTATTATACTTTTATACAAATATATTACTTTGCCTTAGATTAAAAAGTTAATCAGGTTTCAACTAAATTTGATTGTTTTTCAACAATTTTAAAAATGTAGCTTTACAAAGTTCATTCATTCATTTTCCTTCGGCTTAGTCCCTTATTTATCAGCGACATGTAGTCTTTTAGTCATGTAAATACACCAGGCTAAATATTGTGCAGTGTTATTGAGAATGAAGACTTCAGCGTGTGTCAGACTGGTCTGGGATCAGTGTGACGTTGAGCTGATTCTCTTCAGGCAGTGTTTGGCTGTCATTGTGCTGTGATGGAGGTCATTATCCTCTAATTAGCTCCTACAGTGGCTGGGCTAATCACGTAAATAAGGCAGAGAGAAACACAAATCATTCTGTGAGAGGAAGTGATCTGTGTTGTGCTTTAAATCTGTATGGGGGAGAAGAAAATAGGTCATTGTTTCTTTCAGACTGTTCTGCTGACTTTGCTTTAGTTTATAAAATAGACATATTGTTTTTTTTTTTGTTTTTTTTTATTTAATCTTGATGTATTCGACCAACATACAATTATTTATTTAATTTCAATTTTGAATTTTTTATTTATATTTGTTTGAAAGAAGGTATTGTTGTACCACTTCTGTAATGCAATCTAAAAAATGTATGAAAAAGTACATATATACATATATATATATATATATATATATATATATATGTATATATAGACCATTTCAATGTGGTGATGTCACTGGCCCATGAACATTTCCTGCTTGTTATCAAACTATTTTATAACTGTAATAGGAGGCAATTCAATCATAACCTACTGTTTAAATAGCTATCATAACATTATTTATCAATATGTGGCACTTTTTGGGTTCTTGGAAGCCATATAAATTAAAAATGTAAAACAGGAAACAATTTGGGACCTTTGTTAATGTTTACATCCCTCAAAATGGTCTGTATATATATTATACAGTTGAAGTCAGAATTATTAGCCCCCCTTTGATTTATTTTCCTTCTCTTTTTAAATATTTCCCAAATGATGTTTAACAGAGCAAGGAAATTTTCACAGTATGTCTGATAATATTTTTTTTTCTTCTGGAGAAAGTCTTATTTGTTTTATTTCAACTAGAATAAATATAAAAAATAAGTTTAATTTTTATGAACCATTTTAAAGTCAATATTATTAGCTATATATTTTTTTCGATAGTCTACAGAACAAACCATCTTTATACAATAATTACCCTAACGTAGTTAACCTAATTAACCTAGTTTGGCCTTTAAATGTCACTTTAAGCTGTATAGAAGTGTATTATTTAATCAATCAAATATTATTTACTGTCATCATGACAAAGATAAAAGAAATCAGTTATTAGAAATGAGTTATTAAAACTACTATGTTTATAAATGTGGTGAGAAAATCTTTTCTCTGTTAAACAGAAATTGGGGGAAAAAAAGTAAACGGGGGCTTATAATTCTGACTTGAACTGTATATATACATGTGTGTGTGTGTATATATATATATATATATATATATATATATATATATATATATATATATATATATATATATATCCTCATGTCATGTTCTTTTGTTATTCAGCTGGTTGTGGTCATTTCTGAGCTTGTGTGTTTGTGTTCCGCAGGCCATTGCTCAGGTCACTCTGGTGGGCCATGATTGGGGCGGCGTTCTGGTCTGGAACATGGCACAGTTTCACCCTGAGAGAGTCCGGTATATTATACACTATTACAGCTGTTTAACGTATTTATATTGACTGTGTCCGATTGTTATTGTGTTTAGTGTAAAAACTGGACAAAATACATCCACCATGCTTCTATTTATTTTGTCGTAAACAAATAAATACATGCATTCATAAATTGCTTGTTTGTTTAATTGTACTTTTTGTGTCAGAATATGTTTGCATTAAGAGAGGAAAATGATTTAAAATGAAAATCATATTGAAAATCAGATTTGAACACATTAAAAGCAAAAACAAATAAAGCAATCCTAAACGGTTTATATATTATTTGAAAACTTTTTTCTTTTGATTTTGTACTTAAATATAATTTCGTTTAAATTTTTGCTGAAATATGATTTTCGTTCTGACACTTCCTTATGATATTCTGCCAGTTTAAAGGTTTTTTTTTGTCTTCAGATATTTCATTCTTCTGTGGGAGATCATTTTCCATATTAAACTTGTGAAGTGTGAAATTACAAGGAAAGGATGCAAGTCCAATCTTTGTGTACTTGATATTAAGAAAAAAGCAAAATCATGTAGCGAATGTCGGCAACCACGGCTCCATTTTTAGATGTGTTCAGTTTCCTTCATTCACTCCGACATGGATTCGTAGCGTTTCAAAACGAAAACAGCCTCTTCAGCATTTCCAAAACTCTCCATTTTCAAGACTTAAAACCTTTGTGATAGTGTAAACTGAAGGCGTAACTTTAGCAAAAGTTACGTGTTTAAAAACTAAAACATAACGCCACATGACAACCTCAAACATTGTGCAGTTCTGAGTGTGCATCACACAGGTGAGTGGGCTTGACAAACCACCTGTAGAAAACACACTCTTTCATCTCTCCGACACTTTAACCAACAGTCGCACCAAGTTTTGCACATTTGCACTAGACACTTTCCTACAATCACTCCATATCTTAAAAAAACATTATGCATCTATGAAGTATGCCTCAGACAGGTGAGTGGGCTTGACAAACCACCTGTAGAAACACTGTTCTCTATGAAAATCACCTCTCCTTACTCTAGCTCTTAATTCTCTGAGTGCTAGCAGTTCCTCTGCATAATGATCACTTGTTTTGTGTATTGCCATTTCTTGTTGAATCGCTGAATGCCTCCTCAATTGTAAGTCACATTGGACAAAAGCATCTGCTAAAGGACTAAATGTAAATGTAAATATCCATATAGATGCAGAAGTTGTTATGCACAGAGAGCAGAAATGTCTACTTATCTTCTAATGTTTGTTATTTTGTTAATACGCAGAGCTGTGGCGTCTCTCAACACTCCTCTTTTCCCTGTGGATCCAAACACAAATCCGATAGAGAAACTGATGGCCATCCCCATCTTTGACTACCAGATCTATTTTCAGAAGCCCGTGAGTTAAATCAACACTGAATTATGTGTTCGTTGTATACATGTTATAAGTATAGTTACGAATATATTACATCAAAAAGAACATGAGTAATTCTGACAAACTGTACATCAGTTTAAAGCTACGACACTCAAGCAGCTATTGTAGCTAGTTGTTTTTCAACGGGAAGCTTATAAAGAATGTATTTGCTATATTTGTGCAAGTTGTACAGAAAACGCTTGGATATGGAGTACATACTTACAGTTGAAGTCAGAATTATTAGCCCCCCTAAATTATTGAACCGCTTGGTTGTTTTTTCCCATAATTTCTGTTTAATGGAGAGCAGATTTTTTCAAAACACATTTCTAAACATAATAGTTTTAATAATTTATCTCTAATAGCTGATTTATTTTATCTTTGCCCTGATGAATAAATAATATTTGACTAGATATTTTTCAAGACACTTCCATACAGCTTAAAGTGACATTTAAAGGCTTAACTAGGGTAATTAGGTTAACTAGGCAGGTTAGGGTTATTATTCAAGTTATTGTATAACGATAGTTTGTTCTGTAGATTATCGAGAAAAAAATTTAGCTTAAAGGGGCTAATAATTTTGTCCCTAAAATGGTGTTTAAAAAATTTAAAACTGCTTTTATTCTAGCCGAAATAAAACAAATAAGACTTTCTCCAGAAGAAAAAATTATATCAGACATACTGTGAAAATTCCTTTGCTCGGTTAAACATCATTTGGAAAATATTAAAAAAAGAAGAAAAAAATTTGGAGAGGGCTAATAATTCTGACTTAAACTGTATTATTGTAATAACAAAACATGCACGCATTCATTGCTGTACATCATTGTTTATTTTAAAGGATAAGAGTCCTCAGAACAACATCCCATCGAACACATTTAGTCCACCGTCGTTTGGATGAGACGTTAATCAGAATCAGTTTTAATGTGTGCTTCACACACACAAGGAATTTGTTTTGGCTACAGAAGCTTCCAGAGTACAAATTAAACGTATGTTTTGACATAAAATATGTGTGTGTATTTTATATCTATGTTATGAATATGTAATACACACACACACACACACATACACACTCATGCGTACATAAAAAAAAAAACTACTTTTTTGGATAGATATTTTAATCAATATAAAAGATGTATTATATCCATATATATATTTTATATCTAAAAATGAGTAAACATTTTCTTAAATATATGCATTGTGTATGAATAATAATTTTACACCTCACACGTACACTCATCGGACACTATATTAGGTACACCTGTCCAACTGTTTGTTAATGCAAATTTCTAATCAGTCAATCAGATGGCAGCAACTCAATGCATTTAGGCATGTAGACGTGGTCAAGACGATCTGCTGCAGTTCAAAGCGAGCATCAGAATGGGGAGAAAAGGGGATTTAAGTGACTTTGAATGTGGCATGGTTGTTGGTGACAGACGGGCTGGTCTGAGTATTTCAGAAACTGCTGATATATTGGGATTTTCACACACACACAGCTGTTTCTAGGGTTTACAGAGAATGGTCCGGAAAAGAGAAAATATCCAGTGAGTGGCAGTTCTGTGGGGACAAATGACTTGTAGATGCCAGAGGTCAGAGGAGAATAGGGTATATGCGAGCTAGTGTTTTTCCCATACTGATAAACTTCCGGTGACCTGTTATTGTGAGTTTTTTCCATTTTATACGGTTCCTTTTACAGCATCGATGTTGTAATGTCATTAAAATAAATTCGGTTAAATAAACTTTGACATTAATTTAGTTGCTCAAGCGTAAAACGATACAAAAAGCTGTTTACTCGCACGCGCCCGTCAGAATCGGCAGGCTAGCTCAGAAGCTCCATTGAATACACTGGGGTACAATAAATGCTCATATTATTGACCTTATTCTCCGCAGACGAGCGGGCGCTGCCATTTGAATCTTTTTGGCACGAGACTTCCGGTCACATTCACTTCCATTCATTTTTAGACATTAAAAACTGCTCGTTTCGCTGTTTGATGTTGCAAACTGATATTTCCTTGTTGTATTATTCTACTTGGTCTGTATAGTCATGCAAACATTTGTTTGTAGAGCAAGTAGTTTGACCGTTTTTTGCCGTTTATTATTCTTTGTCATTTCTCCCATAGGCGACTGAAACGGATGTTCTAAGACAATCGCGAAAACAGCCGCACTTCCGCATTTTAGAATAAGGTCAATACAGACATGGTGGAGGATATGTAATTTAATGCAGTGCTTCTTGTACAATCTGAGACCCACTTTATATCGGATATCACTCAGCCAGTGGAGATCACTGATTTTTAAAGAAAACAGCCCTTAAACGTGCCCGTTTTTGCATTGGCATACAGTTTGCCGGAAAGACTTAACCCAGGTTACTGGCAAATTAAAAGTCCTATTAGCATGCTTCGGCATATACCCTATTGCTTGACTTGTTCTGAAGGCAGTTCTGAAGGCAAAAGTGGGTCCCATCCTGGTACTGATATATTGACTATATTATGTCAAAGCAAACTTTTGTTTTGGATGCGATTATTTGCGATTAATTTTTAAGCGCTAATTCTAACCTTAACAAATGTGTGGTATGTCTATAGTTAGTTGATGTTAATTGCATAAAAACATCAAGTTATGTTAGCTAACTGGATTTAATCAATATTGAATTGTGCATGTGTTTATATTTGTATGTTTATCAGGGTGTTGCAGAGGCAGAGCTGGAAAAAAACCTTGAGCGAACCTTCAAGCTGATGTTCATATCAAGCAGTGATACAGTAAGTCTTGAAATTTAATTTTATGCTTTTTAAAATTCATTGAAATGCTTTATTTTTAGGCATTTTAATAATTTTTTAGTCACATACAGAGCTGAGAAAATAAAGTATATAAGTAATACTTTAACTAGAAAAATAGTAACGTACATTTTATTAGAATAAATAGTCACACATTAGTGTAAAAGAAACAAAATGCATTAAAAATATGAAGTTAATAAAATATTCTAAAATAATTAATAGAATTCAATTAAGAATTAAGTCGTTATTAAATAAACTAAATATTATTCAAATACATAATTAAAAATTTTTAATGAACTAAACAAATAAATGCAAATTTGCTCAAATCTAATAATAAAAATGTGTAAGCAAATAAGTAATTATATTTTAAAAATTATGAATATGCTACTATAGTAAATAAAGAGACAAACAATTAATAATGCAATAATAATACTATAATTAATAGAAAAAAATGTGGTAATACAATCAAAATATTAACAGTAATAAAATAATTCGTATTATTATTATTATTATTATTATTATTATTAACAACAATAACAACAATAATAATAATAATAATAATAATAATAATAATTAACTACAACAAAAGCATTATAATAGCATTGTGTGAGGCATTTCATATGTGATTTTTTTAATAATTGTTTTGTGAGTTTTTGGCTCCAAAACTATGTTGTAGTCATTTATGAATGTTTAAAAAAATAAAAAAAGAAACCCTGATTTTCTTTAGATAATAATCTTCCCTGCATCCTGGAAATAAATGTTTCTGAACATATAAAATAAATAATTAATAAAAAAGATTACTAGATTTTATAAAATATCTTTTATTTTTAGTGTATTTATTTATTTATCTAATATCAAGGCTACAGTTGTCTTTTCTTTCTTTTTTTTCGTTTGTCTAAGTAGTAATAATAATACAAAACCCTTCTTTGCATTTGACTAAAATATCTTAGTTGTACTCCATCATTTCATAAGTACAACATCAAGATTTAACTTACTAATTTATACCTATTGTGAATCGTTGTGAATCATGTCTTTGCTGTATCCTTACAGCCCTAGTTATAATCCATGTTGCAAAATCAAACAATGTTCTGGAGACAAATCCTGCCGTGGTCTGCAGTGTGTGTGTGTTATCTGTGTGTTTACTGTGTTCACGAACGCTCAGAAAGCAATGCTGGTGGAGATCAGAGAATGAAGCGGCATCATAATGAGGGCCAGGTAAAGCCTGTGACCCCGCACTAATGAATCTCAGACTCATCGCTCACTCTTTGGGCTCATAATGACTGCGTGGGCTGCGGCATCGGGTCAGACGAGATGCTCTAGACACAAACACCCATAGAGCAGCCCATAAAGCCGGGAATCACCATAGGAGACACCAAAACGTTTCCCGCATTCACACGCATTACTGCCATTCATCTGCAGCCATCTTTCGGATGAGACGTTAAACCGAGGTCCTGACTCTCTGGGGTCATTAAAAATTCTATGGCACTTCTAGTAAAGAGTAGGAGTGAAACCCTGGGGTCCTGGCCAAATTCCCTTCATCTGCCTATAACCATCATGGCCTCCCAATCATCCCCATCCACCGAATTGGCTCTATCACTGTGTCTCCACTCCACCTATAGCTGGTGTGTGCTGAGCGCACTGGCGCTGTTGTTGAGAAGGGGTTTTAATAAATAAAATACAGACATTTCTAATTATGTATTAAATTTATTTATATATATATATTAAAGGTGCAGTAGGTGATTGTCTTCAGAAGCATTGTTTGTTGTGCTGGTTGAAAGTCTCTTCACAGTCTAATAGTATTGATTAAAGTAAATGATCTAAATGTGTTTATATGTATTTTTATATTTTGGGTAAGGCATAAAACTAAAAAATGTTCATCCAATTAAATAGAGTCGGGCCGACATCTCTCATAGTTCAGATAAGTAGCTCAATCTGTCTGTCAGCAAATGCAGATTTGAACAGCTGCGCAGTCATTTGTACGCAGCTCCGCCGACCGCGGCATGTTCACGAGAGAGGGAGAGAAAGCATGCACGCCAGATCGGTAAAAACCTGCTTAATCAAAACTTTTTAAAAACCTGAATCAATATTGGAGTTACCATTGCACGCTGGAGAAAGCATGACACAATGTCTGAAGGATTTCTCTCAGGTAATGCTCTGTTTTAAGTGAAGTTTTTAAACTAATTTCGAGAGGAGCACGTGATATAATTGACTGCAGCTGGCCACCTATCTACACTCATTAGTTAGCCAATCAGATCTATTCTAACTCACTATAAATAGCCTAGCTAGATATTACTCCCTTATCTTCGTTTTCCAAAGAAACCCCCCATCCACCCCTTTCTCCTCCTTTTCTCCTTTACAAAACAGGGGAGCTCTCAAGAACCACCTGATCTCGTACTCCCCTCACATGCTCTATGGACCTGGCGGGAGCCCTGGGCTCAACTATCTCCGAGCTCAGGGTTCTCTCCCGGGACAGCATGCCAAACCTGCTTACAGTTGTCAAGCAATATCTAAGTGTGAACTCTTGAAAACAGCTTTAGCTTCACACAGAGCTGATGTAACGTTAGATGTTGTTGTCACAAATGGGTTATATCTTCACAGAAGTGTTGTTCAGCCACTAAAATATTCCTATGAAAGAGTGATAAGACTATTTTTAGTTTCATAAGGACCTTTTACAGCATCGATAATGTAGATTTGAATTAGTTTAACAACAAAACACAAGTGAATATCGCTATTCCGCCTAGTCTCTCCCTATATTGTTTACCATGCAACTCTAATATTCACTCTGAAATAGCATATCAGTTTGGCTTGCACGCCGCCGGACAAGTACTAGTGGCTTTTAACACATGAGAGAGGGTTCTTCAGCTGTGCTCCTGTTTAAGGTGGCATGGCTCTAGACGGCAATGAAGGGACTGTGATTCAGAGATTTATGCTAAGCTGTTAGCATTGTGGAAGATCCCCTACTGCACCTTTACATGAATTTAAACTAAATAGTAAACCGGGAAGCAGAAAAGCATGTGAACAATGAAAAGAAATGTGAACATTAAAATATAAAAGCAACATCTTTACAATATTAATAAATGCTATAACACAACATAAATTTATACTTAACACCGTTAAAGTTAAATGAAAATGTTATACATTTACATAAAAGCACATTTAAAATGTGAATAAATACTATAATACAGGGGTGTCAAACTTGTTTTAGCTCAGGGGCCACATGGAGTTAAATCCGTTCTCAAGTGGGCCGGACTGGTTAAAACAATGGGGGGAGGGGGAGGGTTGGGTACCACGCCCAATTTTTTTAAATGGTACATTTTCATATTACTGAACTCGAATGAAATAGCCACTAAACTGACAAAACGCAAAATAGTTCAATTTCCTCGTGAGATCCCCTCAGTGTGCAGGGCTTCCCACAGGTTGGAAATATACTTGCAGCGGTAGCCGGATTGAAAAACACCTTTTTCCCACAGCACATAAATGTGATTTTTAACTTGATTTTTATTTATTATGACACTGTTTTACACATTTTCATTTCAACGGGTTAAAGTTATTTTAAAAAGGCTGTTGGATTAATAGAAATCCACTATTTCACTTACTTTTATGCTATTTAGGAGCCATGTGCACCCACTGACAGGTAAAGAGTGCTCTGCTCGCTCGCTCTCTCTCTCTCTCTCGCTCTCTCTCTTTCTCTCTCTTTCTCTCTCTCTCTCTCTCTCTCTCTCTCTCTCTCTCGCTCTCTATCTCTCTTGGAATGACATTTACAGTATTGTCAAAGCATTTTTGATATGTACAAAGTATGCCATACATTAACATCATTAAAGTAATAAAATATACATCAAATGAGAAATAAATATCAGAAAAAATGAATAAAAATAGACATTATTGCTAAAAATTATAATAATTACTAGAATAAAAAGTGGAGATTATTTTAATAGAGCAAATTAGTTGATTAGCCGTTCCTAATGGTGTACAAATATGTTGCAGCCATTATAGATGTCATTTTGGTCTCTCCGAGTATAAAGTTTATCTGAGTCGTATCTGAGTAATGATTACAGGCTTCTGGATCAGATGAAATTAACAGTTTGCTATTGCGCCTTCCTGTGGACACAATTGAAACAGCAGTCGTGGGCCGCATTAAATTTGTTTAATATAAATATATTAAGGCGAGGCAGTGGCGTAGTAGGTAGTGCTGTCGCCTCACAGCAAGAAGGTTGCTGGGTCGCTGGTTCGCTGGTGTGGATGTTGCGGCTGGAATGGCATCCGCTGCGTAAAAACTTGCCGGATAAGTTGGCGGTTCATTCCGCTTTGGCGACCCCAGATTAATAAAGGGACTAAGCTGACAAGAAAATGAATGAATGAATGAATAAATATATTAAACTACAAATATAAAGAATGATAAACCTAAAACTAAACCGACTAAAATAAGCGAAAGAGAAAAGTGATACTGCTAAAGCTTAAACTACAAATAAAATGAAACAATACAAATACAAGGTATAAGATATTAAATCTAATACTATATTACAATATTGAGTATTGTTCAAATATATACTGAGAAACTTTATTTTTATAATCTGCAGGATGGATTTCCTAAGTTATCCCCTGCTGGAGTTTGTCAGAGAGGTAAATACATCAAACTATAACATTTTCAGTTTTTGATTTGTCTGCATCTTTTACTATTGCAGATGCGCACTTTGCAATATGGATATGTTTCACTGCTGTTCAGGTTGTGATTTGCTCAGCTCTGCTGTTTCTCAGGTGGATTGTTTGTTGGGTCTCCGGATGATCCTCCGCGCAGCTCCATGCTGAGTGTGTCTGCGCTTCAGTTTTACACAGAGCAGTACAGCAAGAGCGGATTCAGGTACACCGAGAACATGAGCTCCTCGATCTGTGTGCTTTTTGTACTTCTGTCTTCACGCTGCAGAATGTTTTTTGTTGTCTTGTCATCAAGTGACTACTATTTTCTTCCAGTAGTTAAGTAATGTGTACAATGTAAAATATTCACAATAGAATTAAAAGCTTCAAAATGTCCTGAAACAATTTAGTTTCTTGTGTGTAAATAGAATAATATGCGTAATATTTAATTTAATGTTAACTTTATTAAATTTTACGTAATTTATCAATGTATTACTTGTTAATTGAATTAACTATATGCGTATGAAAAGTGTGTATGTGTATACAGTAGGGATGTAACGGTATCAGAATTTCACGGTACGATAATACATCGGTATGAATGGGACGGTACAATATTTATTGAATAATTTACAGGAAAAACAAAACTAATGAAAAACTCGGAAAAAAAAGTGCCAAAAGTGTTTATTTACCTTAGCACTGAACATATCAATGACATACAAATTAGCCATCTATCTGTAAGTTTCGAAACAGGAACTTCAATTTTTCTATTTTAATAACAAAAAATTATTAAACCATGTAAATAAAATAAAGTTTCAATTTAGTATTGTTGAAAACTCATCACATTCAACATTTAATCACCCACTTACTTAGATAGAGATGGGTTTTTAAGGAAAATTATCATATAACTATAATCTGGTAAAAGCTGGGATCTCTGGGCATTTACAATGTCCCCTGCAACAGAAAATAACCCTCTCATTTGGGACTGAAGTTTCTGGGACAGAGAGATATGATTTAGCCAAGGTTGACAGCAGTGGGTAACGTTGTGCATTGTCTTTCCACCACTTGAGAGGACAAGCCATGAGTGAGATAGAGGTCTCTTTGCGGTACAAGTCAATGTCTGCATCAATCTAACAAGTGTGCTGTATTCTGCAGTCCCCACGACTGTTATTAGTCGTAATCCCTGACTTATATTTCACCACAGTCTGGCAGTGCCTGCATACTGTTTTTTTTTGTCTGTCACCTTTTCCCCTTTTTCATATCTTTTTAGAAAGAAACCGAAATGCTTCCACACATTCGATTTAAAACCCGCTTTAGGTTCGATCATTTCCAGCTCTTTTTTTCCCCCGCTACTAGCAGCACACTCCATTTCCACATTACTGGATCTGTAGCGACAACAGAGCGCAAAGGAAGATGGCCACGCCTAGGCTGATGGGATCTGTAGTTCCCGCTACCTGCCGTTCACTTCATTCACCTAAGCAAACTTTTCTCAGAAATATAGTTTTATTGAGTCATGCGCCTACGGCAATATTGAAAAAAATTACTATTGCGGTATGACGGTATTTACCATATTGTTACATCCCTAGTATACAGTAGTCTACAAGGCAAGTAGAAGCTTTTGATCCCATTCACACATTGACTACTGTGGTGCATATACTCGGATATTGATGCTGAGGATATCATGCTTATTCTTATTTACTATAAGCAACTAAAATTAAATAAGGTTTACAAATAAAATGCCAAAAGAAAATGTCAAAAATGTGAACTAAAATTAAAATGAAAACAAAATTTGGAAATAAGGCTGAAATCACTGCAGATTAATTATTTCTTCGATTATTAATCATCTCTGAATGTGACCGAATACATGATGAAAATGAACATGTGGATGTGCGTCTGAAATGTCAGCAGTGTTTTGCGATGGCAGACTGTGTGTTTGTGTGTGAACTGAAGCTGTGGTAATGAATGCGAGCTCATGCATGTGTTTGTGTCTCAGAGGTCCACTCAACTGGTATCGTAACTACGAGAGGAACTGGCGCTGGATGGTCTCCAGACCGAGAGCGAAGGCAAGTGACAGAAACACACCTGTGGCATATATTCTCCACAGCAGATGAAGGCGCAGCCATCAGAGGATTTCTTCACTCACAATCAATATTTTCTAATAACTAGCTCACCCCAGATCAGATCAGTTCTTAATTCTTTATTTCATCAGTTAAAAAGAAATGAATGTTTTTGAGGAAAACGTGCAGTATTTTTCTCCATACAGTGGACTTCTGTGGCGCTGTTATGAAATTCTGTTATATTCACTGGGAAATTGATACAAATATTAATTTTCAAAAGGAGGTGTACTTATTTATGCTGAGCACTGACTGTATATTACTATCATTCATTCATTTATTTTCTTGTCGGCTTAGTCCCTTTATTAATCCGGGGTCACCACAGCAGAATGAACCGCTAACTTATCCAACACATTTTTACGCAGCGGATGCCCTTCCAGCCGCAACCCATCTCTGGGAAACACCCACACAAACATTCAAACACACACTCATACACTACGGACAATTTAGCCTACCTAATTCTCCTGTACCACAATTCTTTGGACTGTGGGGGAAACCGGAGCACCCGGAGGAAACCTACGCGAATGCAGGGAGAACATGAACATGAACTCAGAAACGCCAACTGACCCAGCGACCTTCTTTCTGTGAGGCGACAGCACTACCTACTGCGCCACTGTAGACCATATTGTAGACCATGTCACCATATTAGTTCAAGTTCATTTATTTATAAAGCACATTTCAAGAGTTCACACTTAGCTGATGATTAATTATAAAAGCTTGTTTGGCATGCTGTCCCGGGAGAGAGCCCTGAGCTCATGAGATCCTCGAGCCCAGGGCTCCCTCCCGTTGCAAGGCGGGAGGAGAGTTTGAGCTCAGGTAGATCTCGAGAACTCCCCTGCTGTAGCAAGTGAATGCTCTTGAAATTAATTACTAACTAGAAGCGTGTCTATGTTGACAATTTGGATTGTTCAATTGACTTAATTGCAAGTTTTTAGGCGGTGGGAGGAAACCGGGGAACCCGGGGGAAACCCACGTGAGCACGGGGAGAAGTGCAAACTCCACACAGAAATGTCTGCTAGTTTTGGTAAAGCCAGGAACCAGAGACATTCTTGCTGTGAGGCGACAGTGCTAGGTACTGGGCCACCGTGTCACCCATCTAAGAAGGAGGAGTAGGGGAGGAAGGGGGGACTCTTCAAAACGAAGATAGCAATGGAATAAACCCCAGGGTATTTATAGTAGTTTAGGAGTCATCTGATTGGATCGTAGTGAATTAGATAATGCGGGTCAGCTGCTAGCAATCATAAGCACGTGATCCTCTCCAAATTTGTTTATACATAAACTTCACTTAAAAGCAGACCAAAGTGCTGTACATAAGACAAGATAAAAAATAAAAAGACTATATATAAACACGAAATAAAGCAAGCCAGCGAAACGTCTGTAAAGATGTCAAAAATTAGCGGTGGAACGAACTATTAAAATAATCGTAGGGTGCTTTCACACCTGTGAATCGATTCAGTTGTTCCGAAACAGAGAATACAATTGTTACATTGTTGCTCTTTGCTCTTGGAGCGGTTCGCTTTCACACTGCAAAGTTTCTAATCGGACCAAAAGAGCTTAAACAAGTCACGTGCGAGTAAACTCTCCTTACATTGGTCAGAGTGTCAGGGTTTATTTTGCAGCGTCCCCCTCAGCTGTCAGGAGAGGTGGTGGTTTGGTGGTGATTGACAGGGTGCGCTCGCGTGACGTGTCTGAAGAGAGATGCGGTGGGGAGGGGTGAGAAGGGTGCGCGACGATGCCTATTTGAGGACCTGTAGGGAGACGCGAGATTACCGGGAGATCATCACTCGTTTGTGGGCATCCGGAGACTCGCGAAACTTCCCGCCCTACTCATAATTCTCTCTTCATATAGCCGTAAGCCTATTACATATCCATAAAACACTGTGATACAACCGCGCTCGGATCGGATCGCTTTCTCACTACAATCGAACCGCTCCAGGGTTCGTTTCAATCGAGCCGAGACCACCTCATTCAAGCGATCTCGGAGCGATTACTTTGGCGCGGAACAGAGCGCGATTGCCCTGTTCACATATGCCAATCGAACCGCGCTAACTGGGCAAACGAGACACGTTCCGAAACAAAAGTGTAGGTGTGAAAGCACCCTTAAAAAGCCAAGCTAAAAAGGTAGGTTTTAAGAGGTGATTTAAAAGTGGATAATGATGCAGCCATTCTGATCTCAAGGGGCAAGGTGTTCCACAACCGAGGACCTGCCACAGAGAAAGCTCTGTCCCCTCTACGTTTTAGCCTAGATTGTGGAACTGACAGAAGATTCTGCTCACTCGACGTAAGAGATCTCACAGGAGTGTAAGGATGAAGCAGCTCTGCGAGATAGAATGGGGCTAGATTATGGATTGATTTATAAACCAGTGAAAGCACTTTAAAATTCTGAATTTCACAGGCAGCCAATGAAGGTCTCTTAGAAGAGGGGTAATGTGGTCCTACTTTCTGCAATTACATAAAAATTTAGCAGCAGCGTTTTGGACCAGCTGAAGGCGAGAAACCTGGAAATTTTGACATGCCACAGTAAAGTGCATTGCAGTAGTCTAATCGTGATGTGATAAAAGCGTGGACAGCCATCTCTAGAGTGGTGGGATTTAAAAAGTGTTTAACTTTAGACAGCAGACGTAGTTGATTAAAAACTGGAGCCAATAACCGAACTGATCTGCTTGTCGAGTTTCAATGACTCATCAAAGATGACACCCAGATTGCGGACACGGGGCGTGCTGAAGGCAGATAAGCAGCCAAAATCTAAGGCAAGAGGCCTGAATGTTTTCAGTAGGACTGAAGACAATGACCTCTGTTTTATCCTCATTTATATTTATATTACTCTATATTAAAACTAAAAAAGCACCATATCACTGTGTTGTTTATTTCATTCAGTTTCTTATAATTGTCATGTGCGATTCTGTAAGTAAATATCAGTTAAACCGCTGTATTTGCACAGATCCTGATGCCTGCTTTAATGGTGACGGCTGGAAAAGACCCTGTTCTGCTGCCAGCGTTTGCCACAGGGATGGAGAATCTGGTGAGTGAAATCTCTGTTCTTCTATTATGTCAAAGAAATGGTTCGCCCAAAAATAAAAATATCAGTCGTTATTTACTCACCCGTTACTTGTTTCAAACCTTTATGAGTTTCTTTCCTCTGTTGAACACAAAGGAAGATAGTTTGAAGAATGCTGAAATACCTGTAACCATTGACTTCCATAGTATTTGTTCTTTCCTACTATTGATATCTATGGTTACAGGTTTTCAGCTTTCTTCAAAATATCTTCTTTTGTTTTTAACAGAAGAAAGAAACTAAAGGTTTAGAACCACAGGATGGGAGAGAAAATAGTGCGCAATTTTTAATTTTTGTGTGAACTATCCCTTTTGATGCTGCATTCATTCATTTTCTTTTTCGGCGTAGTCCCTTTATTAATCAGTGGTCGCCACAGCGGAATGAACCGCCAACTTATCCAGCATATGTTTTACGCAGCAGATGCCCTTTCAGCCACAACCCATCACTGGGAAACATCCATACACACACATTCACACATACATACACTACAGACAATTTAGCTTACCCAATTCACCTGTACTGCACGTGTTTGGACTGTGGGGGAAACCGGAGCACCCGGAGGAAACCCACGCAAACGCGGGGAGAACATGCAAACTCCACAGATGCCCCAACTGACCCAGCCGAGGCTCGAACCAGTGACCTTCTTGTTGTGAGGCAATAGCACTACCTACTGCACCACCGCGTCGCCCTGCTGCATTTACATCATGCTAAAATCAACAAACTTACAACCTACAGCCTTTAATTAGTTCTCTGAGTGGCTCGCGGGTTTAGACTCACAGTATTTTAAGTATATGGCAAGCTGTGAATTACATGTTAGTTTGTTAATACTTTAGGGTGGGTTTCTACGGAGACCCAGAAGGGATGTGATGGTGTGGAAAAAATAGGAAGGAAAAAAACTGGGTGGGAGAAAAAAAGCAGAGTGATAGTAAAACATATATTTTTTAAAGTTTTTGCGTTCCCTCGCAAAGATGTTTTGCGTTATCTCGTTATAATTTTTTGCTGAAATTATCCCGTATTTTGCCATTCTATCCCACTATCATCCTATCATTAAGTATTGCATTTTTCTGATATATATATTTATAATCGTGAAAGCACGCTGAATTTAACATAAACATGTCTGCATTCACTTTCTTTAAAGCTGTGCGTCGATTGTTGCCCTTCCTGTGTTTTTGCAAATCAACCAGACGCCGTTGTGACACTTTTTGATAATCTTAAATTTGTCACACTCATGCCATTTGCACATCCTCTTCTTGCGTAAATCCACCAGAGGGCGCAATATACACTTCGACTAACCCACCAACCCCCTTCCCTAAACCCAACCGATAGTGTTTTCAAAAGCAATCTAAAAAAAAAAAAAAGCCATCACAGCTGTGTGATTTTTACCATGTTTTCAGATATTAACACACTTCAGTCTGTTATTTAGTTTTTTGTTTTTGCTTTACCTGGGGTCTGTTCTTCATACCTCGCTTAAATGATCTAAGACGATCTAACAGATCCTGGATCTTGTAATCTTGTTAACTGATTTTTGCCTAATTTGGTTCTTCAAACAAGTTCGAGAATCAGATTAAAATGTCTGGATGAACTGATCTGAGATCGCTGCTTGTGTTGTGAAGGACAGATCTATCAATCCTCAAAATCATGATCAGCAATCGATGATTGGCTGACGGCACAGCAGTGTAATGACATCATCTGATTAATATTCAATTATCCATGTGATCAAAATTACATACAATTAGCAGTAAACAGTTTGTTAAATATGACATGCAATAGCTGCAGGCTTTACACTTTCATGCCTCAAGAGTATTTATCATGTATTTCAATGCGTTTCAATTCAGGTTGCTTAAGTTTTATATATATTTAAAAAAAAAAAAAAAAAATATATATATATATATATATATATATATATATATATATTATTTTCCCAAGTGTATATAACTACTGTGAGAAAATATCAGCATTTGGTATACACTTTCAGTATTATCTTTGCTTGAACTGACCCAATCTAATTCTGTTTATATGAAATCAGCCTGCTCAATAGCAGGTTTGAGCTACTAGAACTGTTGCTATGACAACAACTCTCAGATGAGTTTTGAAGAACTAAAAGATCCTGGATCGTGTCAAATTGTCAATAATCAAATCCAGCTAATTGAGTAATCCACGTACGAAGAACAGACCCCTGGTTTCTGGAACTGTTCTTCGTCTGACTCGAACCCCATTGGGACCGCGCGAGGTCCACACCGCTCTGTATCCCAAGTCCAGTGGTGTGTGGAGTGAGCTACTGGGCAAAATGGTAACACTGGAAAAGCTGTCCATGTGGAGGTCAGCTAGTAGTGCAAAAATAAACAGAAGCTGTCAGCTGTGTAATACCACCCCATAACATTTGTTTCCCTCACAAAATGCAGCCAGATGTAGTCATAGGTACATATTTGGTTTTCCAGAAATTTTAGACCGGGGTACGTATCCACAATGAGCCTGTGTTGGAAATATCACAGAAGAACAAAAGATTTTGTGATCTAACATTTTCACATTAGTTTCAGTTGGTCACTTTTTGTCATGTTTGACCAACCTGCTTAGTTTTGAAATGATCTTACATGTTATAACCATCTACTGCTATGCTAAGCTGATGTTTTCTGTCTACAGATCCCAAACCTCAGCAGAGGCCACATTGAGGAGTGCGGACACTGGACTCAGATGGAGAGGTGAGGCTGTGCTTTTCACAATAAATATGATGCTGTATAAAATTTTCAGAAACTTGTTCATCCTCTTCTTTATATGGATTTCTTGTCCTGTATTTCCATTTAGAAAGGACTCACAGTTAAGTCTGCATTATTAGCCTCCCTGTAGTTTTTCCCCCAATTTCTGTTTAATGGAGAGCAGATTTTTTCAGCACATTTCCTAACATAATAGTTTTAATAACTCATTTCTAATAACTGATTTATTTTATCTTTGTCATGATGACAGTAAATAATATTTGACTAGATATTTTTCAAGACACTTCTATACAGCTTAAAGTGACATTTAAAGGCTTAACTAGGTTAATTAGGTTAACTAGGCAGGTTAGGGTAGTTAGGCAAGTTATTGTATAACGATGGTTTGTTCTGAATACAATTGAAAATAATATATAGCTTAAAGAGGCTTATAATATTTACCTTAAAATGCTTTTAAAAAATTAAAAACTGCTTTAACTCTAGCCAAAATAAAGCAAATAAAATTTTCTCCAGAAGAAAAAAATATTATAGGAAATACTGTGAAAATGTCCTTGCTCTGTTAAACATCATATGGGAAATATTTGAAAAAGAAAACCAAATTCACAGGGGGCGAGTCATTTTGACTTCAACTGTATATCAGTAGTAAATATCTTGAGTTATGGGATATTACTTACGCAATGTTAAATTATATACTGTGGATATATTTCATCCCAAAATTATTATTATCATTTTGAATAAAATAAAGTGATCATTTTGCTACACGGTGTTATTTTAATTAAAAATAAAAACAGGTTATAAACAGGTTAAAAACAGGTTATAAAAATCATATGTTATATCAAATTAGATGTTATAAATTCTAGATGTTTTGTTTGATGTCTTTTATTTAAGAAATAAAAAAAAAAGTCTTGAAATATCTCCGTAAAATGCAGGTTTTTACATTAAACTGAATTAATTTCTATTATAAATTAATTATTGCCAGGGCTTGACAATAACTTTTTTGATCACCAGCCACTGTGGCTAGTAGATTTCCAACGTTACTAGCCACTCACCACTAGCCAAACTTTTGTTGTTGGAAAAATATATTTTATATGCATAAATTTGACTTTGACATGCTAAAATCACTTGATTTTGATTTTGTGTTCTGTCCACATGCCTCATTCATTTCACTTTTTGTGTGTCGTGTATATGTGAGTTTGCTCAGTGTGCATGAGCAAACAGGTTGCATTGCTATTAGTTTTCATTTTACATGACTTTTCTGGGCTCAACATAAAGGATTTACCAAATTTATCTTTGACCACACCAAAAATGAATTAATAATTATTTCTTAACCACAAATTTTAATGCGTTTAAACATGCTAAATAAAGCGGCAAACATGCACTTTTTAGTAAAAAATTTTTTTCTTAAATTTTCTTTTTTTTTTTTTTGATTTAAAAAAGAACTATTGTCATGTATCTAAAATAAGGAATCTGTCCTGGTTAAGGGTCCCAGATCACCAGTTACTACACATAAATGGGAAGTTAATATCCTATTAAAGCAATGTTATTGTGAAAAACTGATAATTAAACCATATAAACTAAAATAATTGTTGCGTTCTCTATGCACGGTTGTTTGGCGCCAGTAAACGGGAGCGTGCGTACGTGCACTTTTTAACAGTCGCGCGCATCACTTCACCCGTGCGCGCGAGTGATCATCCCAAGGGCGTAGGTTTGCGCTTGACATTGGTGGGGACTGGGGACGAGTCATCCCCGCCAAGAATGAATATTGTTATATATATATATATATATATATATATATATATATATATATATATATATATATATATATATATATATATATATATATATAAATTATATATTTTATATATTGCTATTTATTATTTAACTGCTATTAAAATGTATCATTGAGTTATCCTCTCTTCTTACAATTTATTAAGTTAAATTAAATAGTCATGCGTGTAGCCAAGGGGGGTCAGGTGGTTTGAAAGACCAAAAGTTGGATTATTATTATTATGTTAGAATTTATGTTAGACACGTCCCCACCGTCCACCCTAAATCTACGCCCCCTGGATCATCCTCTCATTCGGTATTCACCTGCTTTCTATTGTTGGCGTGAACGCAATTACTTTTGTCAGTCGTGTTGCTTCTCAATTTTGCATGCATATTGGACCATCCTTATTGTTGAACCCTGCTTTTAAGAATTATTATCCGGGAATTTTTTTTCAACCAGCCAAAGTGGCTAGTGAGAGTGCCTGTCTTACCTGCCACCGCTGAAATCTACCCGCATTTGGCGGGTGTTAATGTAAAGCCCTGATTATTACATCACCAGAAGCGCATGTACAAAGACATTAGACATTTCAAAGATATTTTAAGGTATTCATATATACAATGAGGACAATTAAATATAAGACATTAGTCTCATTTCAGAAGTGTTGACATTAAACTCATATAGTGACAGGTTTCATGTCTGAACACCTCTAAAATTACATGCTGCTTAAATGTCTGCAAGGTATCAGCGATACTGGCTTTTACAGGAAATTGGACACTAAAAAAATAATTGACGGACTGTCTGACCTTTAGCACTGGAGTTCACTCATAGTTAAATGAGAAGTTAAATCACTGATGGGATAAAATGGGTTAATGTGATGTCAGGTTATGTTATGCTAGATTGTATTCTCATGTGCCGGCCGTGAAATGGCCTACAAGTCACTTTATGATTAATGATGCATGCTTGCAATTTACATTTACATTTATTTGTTCGTCGTTCTAGAAACAGATCCTGTAAAATAAATGTTTATTGTGCTCATTTTATAAATTACTAAGTCATATTAAAGAGATTAAAAAGTCATAATTGTGGAAAAAAAATCTCTGAATAATGACATTTTCAACTTTGAAATTTTGAACAAAACAGATTTATTAATAATAAATAAATAAATAATTAATCATTTAGTTACTGAACATTCCTAGTTATAGAAAGAAAATACGCTTAAAAATGCATGTGAAATTTTGCAAAAAACTACAGAATTTTATATATTTTTGATTCTCGTGATTTTTCCTCTTTTATTTATTTTTATTTAATATTTTTTCCTAATATAAAATATTAAATAAGATATAACTTTCTCTGTATTCATCTATGTAAACACACCAAAAACAACATTAACAAAATAGCATTAACATTAACAGTAAAGCTCATTCCCAGCCACTAGACTTTTCTGACAGGGTATTCGAGTGTCATTGCTTGTCAGAATGTTGTAGGGTTGCTGTACAGGAGTTATGATTTTGGATTATAGATCACGAAGTTTAGTGATTTTTTTATTTTAGCATTTTTTAAAGCCTGATGGTAAAACATGAACACGGTTATGAATATATTTAAACATGTTCTTGTTTGTTGTAAAAAATGGTAGTAATGACAAAAAATACTTCTTACCTTCCGGGTACAGTGATTCTGCCGTTGTGGCTAGTGTATTCTGGGAAATTTTCTTACCCCTTGGTTTCAAGTGTGGTCCTGAAAAATCTTCATTTGAAGGGGTACCCACCCCTTCCCCTTAGGCCTACGCTTTCAAGCTAAAGAGAATTGGGACACCATTACCCATTGGCGTGAACGCGCTTAACGAAGAGTCGGGGTAAGGGGAAGGGCTGAGGGGTAGAATTGTGATTTGTGATACCACCATGATGCCATGATTATATCTAGTAAATAATATTTGACTAGACATTTTTCAAGACACTTCTATTCAGCTTAAAGTGACATTTAAAGGCTTGATTAGGTTAATTAGATTAACTGGGCTGGTTAGGGTATACGGCAAGTTATTGTATAATGGTTTGTTCTCTAGACTATCCAAAAAAATTTATATATATATATATGTGTGTGTGTTTAGTTTTTTATCTTTTTATTATTATTATTATTCATATTTTATTCATTATTATTATTATATTAATTATATATTTTTTTTCTTACATACATTTTTATTTTATTTTTTAATTTTACACATATTTTTTTTTTATTTGAATGAAATATGATCCTGATATGTTTTTGTCTTGTGTCTCTTATTAAAATCATGAAGATGACATTTTTTCAAATTAATTTTTTTTATTTGTATTTATTTATTCTATTATTTATTTATTTATAAGTACATTTTTCATACAATTTATTTTATTTTATACATATATATCCTTTTTTTATTGAGATTTAATATGATCCAGATTTGTTTTTGTCTTGTGTGTCATGTTCAAATCAGATGTAGATCAGCTACAAATTTCAGTGTGTAAAAGCTGGTTTAGGATGTTTGTGTCAAAACAGTCAAAGCAACAGCACAGATGATGATTTCCTTCAGACTGGGGTTCACTGTCACCCACAAGCTTTTCAGAGTCTGCTTTAAGCTTTTTTGTTTTGAGCACTAATGTGAAAAAGTGAAGCACAGGTTACACTCAGTTTTTCAATGAAGGATAGATGAGATTCAGGGTCAGGGCAGGTTTAGTGATTTTACAGCATCAGTCAATCACATAAATAACAGTAACAGGACACTGGCGGAAAGATCCGGCTCATCTCAAGGTTAAACCTCCATATAGAGAAAAACACTCCCCAGATCTGGTGTGATTTAACACACTGCAGGTGAACACAGTAAAAAATGAACTAACACAGCAGTTATTACTGGACTTTACAGGTTGATTGATTGCTTTGGCAATCATTTTTGCTTTACAAGTTTTTTTGTTTGTATATGCAAATGAAGTATTATTTAATTAAACATGCTTCATAAATTGCATACATTTCTAAAAAAAATTTAACATTGGATGAAATCATAATAATAATTTAAAAAGCAGACTACGGTCAATGGTTTTTATAGTGAAAATGCTGGTTTGCTAGTTGTTTTAACGCTGGGTCAAATATTGATAAACTGGTTAAAAACTGTGATGTAGATCAAACTGAAAACAATTAACCCAACACTGGGTTTGACCATATTTGACCCAACTTTGAGTTACAACAACCCAGCATTTTT